GCGAGCCACTCAGTTGACTGTGAATTTAAAACCATGGCTAGTTCAACCGCAAGTGTCTGACTCGGTGACTTACGGATTATAAAAGTAACGGCATTAGCTCAGTGCTATCGTAATGGGAATTACCACGGCACTAACGGAAAATAAGTTTGTTTTCTATGAAATTACGCTTATCTGTTATGTGATAAATAGAATCTTATACTCTTGGTAGTGTCATATGAAAGTTATGAAACTCGCTGAGTAAATTTTGGGTTTGTTGCTCGCTGAAGTATACCTATTGCGTACCGTGCGCCAGCCAGCATATTCCTGAGTTTGCGTCATCACCCAAAGAATTTCATTTTCAGTTTTGGGCGCGGCCCGCGATTTTTAAATTAAAATAATAAAAAAAAATACCGGGGCGCCAAACTGGATAAAAATAATGGAAAAGATAACTATTGGGCATGGCCAATGATATGACCTATAACAAGTGTTTGAACTATACCTTTAAGAGTAACTCAAAAAAGAATTGAAGAGCCCAGTGCTAAAAGTAGCCTAATTAAGTCACATTTTCTCACACCATGAGGTAAGAATGGGAAAATGTCTTTTATAGTAACCGAAAGCCAATTTCCTCAAAATAGACATTTTGTGACTGATGTACTTTCAGCACCAGGGTCTTCAATTTGGTGTTTCACTCCTAGTTTTTTTAAGCAGAGTAATTTACAAAGTGACAGAAGTACTCGTAGCTGGTAAGTCTGAGACTGGCTAAGAGTTGTCATGAGGACTCCTGAGTTGCCAAGAGGAATTTGCAAAAACTCCTCATGACAGCCGTTGAGAACTCATCATTGGAGGAACACTCATGAAAAACTCGTAAAAACAGTATTGCCTCAGTTGCGAGGGTATAATGATTGTGGGGGATTTAGCTCCGGATGCAATCAAGAAAAAGACGAGAAAGATCCATTTTACCAGGCTGCCTGGCGGCTGGCCGCTAATTAGCATGGTCAGCGTCGTCGCCGCGCTATACGGTGAACACACACTGCTTGCTATACAGTTAATACCTGGTAGAAAGCAGTACATACTGCTGTTGTTAAGAGGTCAGGGGAACAACAGATGCAGGATCCAGAACAGTTTATTGAACACCAAACACTAAAGGAGAAAATGGGCACACAGGCCAGAAACAAAACACCGTGCACATGCACTGAACAAATAGGAAAAACTAAGGTACACTGCCCAAGGCAGGGGGGAAAACAGAAATACACACTCCAAGAGTGGATAAACTAGAAAAACAAAAACTGGACCTAACTAGACTGACGGACACACTGGGAGACTTAGACAAAGGGCAGACAAGACTTGGGCACAGCAAAACACAAGGCTCAGGAATCATACAAAGGAAATACTGGGGAAGGCGCAGGAGCGGAGATTTCACAATGCAGGGCAAAGCCAACACAAAGTTACATCTGATGTCGCTTCTCCATTTGCCACAGAGGAGGCGGGGACTCGGAATGCAATCTCCAATGGAACAGAAACACATGGGATTAATTAAACAATTACACGAGAACCGGGTTAACAATAATGACTCGAGACAAGTCTCTAAGACAATCAATCAAGCTAGACAGTTTAGATTGAGGTAATTTAAACGTGACGAGCAAAAAGCACCACGAGAGAAGCAAAGGAAAGCACAGCTTTAAACGCAGTTAATCAGGGAAAGCTTAGGCAGGAATTACAAAAGTCAGAAACACTCGCACTCGCTAATAAGTTAATTAGGTTAATACTACGTGACGTAAATATATACAGTCACCCTCAAATAAGTGCTGATTAGTACGGGTTAGTAATTATCCCATCAGAGAACGATTCACTCAGAGTTTAGCGAGACCCAGAATTAAGCACAGGTGGAAGCAATGAATGAAATACCACAGCCGAAACCGAAAGAGGAAACGGATTGGACAAAGAGACTCAGGCATGCTGAAGGCTGTCACACGACACCACTGGAGTTTGGGCAAAGAGAGAATCAACATCAGACAGCGGGAATGAAAGCTGAGAAATAAAGCGAGAGTAAAGCACAAGCACAAATACAACACACATGAGGCAGAACCATAACAGTTGTGCTTTGGATAGTGTTAGCCCACTGACTGTAAAAATAAGGTGTAACGTCAGCTGTGGCATTTCTGGTTTAACAGCATTGTACTGGGCACGATGGGTTTATGGAGTTTGAAGGCTCTGAAAGACGTCACAGCTCTAATATAGGGCCAGTTTCACAGACATGGCTTAAGCGTTGTCCTGGACTAAGCAGAGTTTTGTATAGAGATTTTCTATTGAAAATTGAATTTAGTCTAGGATTAAGCTTAATCTGTGTCTGTGAAACAAGCCCATAAAGTCATAGCTGGCAGGTTGTTAACTTAGCATGCTAATACTGAACATACGTATGAAACTATGCTGACATTACACCAGAAAAGGGGCTAAAATTATCCGTACATATATAACTGCCAATCAGAGCCAGAGCTGATAAATACCCGTTACTACTGCAGTCATTTGACCCGGGAGTGAATGCAGGTTATACCGAAGACCGACCCGATTGTTAATGGGTGTTAGCGGTTTTTTGGCCGGTGTAAAAGGGGCTTCATATTTGACGGTTAGCTAGCTAGGTTTCTCGTTAGCCATGCATCATGACTTCGCCCGAAATTCACCACGTAAGCTGTGCCTTGTTAACAAAATCTAACAGCTACGTTACAATCTCTCTCTTCTGTAAAGTTGCTAAGTTAAAAGACTAGCGAATATGTGGTAAACAATTGATATTCCCGTGTTTGGCAGTCTGGTTGTGGCATCCATGACATTACTTAGAAAGGAGTTCGGCATCGGCAATCGATTGCTCTTCGAGTGGCATAAATCGTCATCAGGGTCCCGGATGTGTGGCAGTGCAATTTTGAATCTGAATTACAGGTTTCGAATTCAAAGTGCAGGATTGACTTCAAAGTGCAGATTTGAATCTGAATTAAATGTTTTGAATTCAAATTCAAATTGTGCAATTCAATTGCAAATAGTGCACATCAAATTCAAACTGAGCAATTCAAATTCAAATATCAATAATTCAAATTCAATTTATAGTGGTACAAATTGCTGCCCATACTTCTGCCCTTGTCTGCGAGTGCTGGAAATATCCCCATTTCTCAAACTCACTGCTGAGTTGTAGAAACAGTGGAAAGGAGGCACTTTTGAGGAAATGACATTCCATGTGTCTTTCTTTGCCAGACATATCAGGTCCAAATTTCCCTTTTATTATTATTATTATTATTATTATTATTATTATTATTATCTCACTAGTTAACAAAGTTGTTACCAAAGTTCTTGAATTCTGTTCGCTTTTTTTTTTGTGTTTGCTTTGTACATTTGATTGCAAAGGTCTGCAAAGAAGCCAAATATTTTAAGAAAAGTTTTTATAAGGGTGACATCATTCACATGCGCACAACGGTGGACATTTCCTTATGATGAATCAATGGGTTTGACGGGCAGTTGTCAGCAACGGACTTTGATTGATCCCCCCATGGACCAATCTCTGTGGATGCTCAATCTGATATCCATGTGTAAGTGCTGTTTGTGGAGCGACAGAATAATGCTCATCCAGGTGTAACATTATAATCCACCAATGAATAGCAGCTCCGCTATAAAAGGGCTTTACAACTGTGCATTGCACTTTCGGCTTGCAGTCTGAACCAGCAAAATTCCCTGAGGCGAGCAATTAAAGAGTGAAAGTGATAAATAAATTATATAAAATTTCACAAGTCAAAAACTGTTTTGGGTTCTCAACATCTCTGCGGGTCTCTGTTCAGCTGCATGGAAACTTGATAACATTAGCTTGCTAACTTTAGACAACTAAAACGCTGGCATTTATAAGTTCAGTAGGTGCTGTTCATTGGTGGATAACAATGTCACTCCAGGACGAACATTATTTTGTTGATGGCAGAACAACAGTTACACAGTAATATCGCATTGTGTCACTGGATAAGCTTAATGGTGAAAAACATCATCCTTAAATCTGTAGGAAGAGTTGCTCCTAGAAGTTTTCTGAATCATTTTTATGAGCCAAAAGAAACTTTTTACGCCATGAGGTGTCCATGTGCGAATATCCCCAGTGAATATGGCCCATTTTCTTTTTGTTCTTTGGTGTCTATTTTACTATTTTTTAGCTTTTCATTAATGATTCATTAATCTGTTTTTACTGATTCATAATTTGTCACTTTTATGCTCCTGGGTGGCACTTCATCTTGGCTCTTGAAAGGTGTGGTGTAAATAAAATACTACTCTCTTACAAGATTAAGTCGGAAAAGCCATTCCCTGATCTGCAATCATGAAACTTCTGTTAATCAGGCTTGAAGCATTGCTTAGAAAGGCTTCATTCAGCATGTAAAACACCTTATTGGATTTGGTATGGATGGTTTCATGGCATCAAATCACATCACAAGATAGTTGAGCGTGATGCTGAGGCCCAGTTATGTCATCCTTTATAACTTTTAAGCATTAGCCAGGTGACATTGCTAGTGATGCCACATTTTCTCAGATTGGGCATTATATCACACTCGTCAATGCATTATGAATGCTCAACAAAGCCCTTCTGAGTAACCCTTCCTTTAAAAGTGTGAAACTTCCGTTCGCCGTTTCTGTCCTCCTCAGGTCTCGCTGGTCAGCTTGATAGCCAATGCCTTTGGATACTCCGACCTGGGCCCAATTAAGTCACTGAGAACTCTGCGTGCCCTCCGGCCATTGAGAGCGCTCTCGCGGTTCGAAGGAATGAGGGTAGGAGCCACCAAACGAGTCTTCATTACGGGCCATCCTAACTGCGGGCGGTAGATGGCTGGGCGAAAAGCAGATGCCAGATGCCAACGAGACGGCGACAGCGACATGGCGGAAAATGGCCAATGGCTGGGGGAACTGTCCACTGCAATGAAATTAATTAAAATTTTTACTGCCTACTGTCATTGTGGGGTCACTTGGTTGTGAAACGGGAGTGGTTAATTTTTCAGAACAACAGTGGTGGCACAGTGGTACAGTGGGTTAGCACTGTTGCCTCATGGCAAGAAGGTTGTGGGTTTGAATCCAACCTGGGACCTTTCTGTGTAGAGTTTGCCTGGTCTCCCTATGTTTTGAGATTTTCCAGCAGTTTTCTTTGTGCAGTCCAAAAACATGCATGTCATGCAAACTGAGACTCAAAAATCCCCTGTTAATATGAGAGTGAGAGTGAATGGGGTGTACGCCCTGCGATGGATTGGCGAGCTGTCCAGGATCTATCCCTGCCTTTCCCCCATAGTCAGCTGGGATAGGCTTCAGCTCCCTTGGGACCCTTGTGAGGAAGACAACGGACAGATGTGTGCATAACAAACTAATTTGCAGTGGTGTTCTGCAATACACTGCTTTCCTATATTATGCAGACCATTAACATCAGCACAAACATAAACAATGCAACCACATCATGTCACTGCTGAAGTTTTCGTACCATTAACAATGCCTTTGCAGGTTCCCTGTCTATTGTCCAGCCATCTCCCGCCCACATTGTGAATGGCCCATTTCTATACTTCATGTTTTGCCATATTTACTGCCCACTGTCAACTGCTATTCTACTTTCTGTTCTAGTTGCACAGTGCACATAAAGCTCATATACAAGCATGCTGTTTACATGGCGTATGTACTTCCCATGATAATACAATCTTTCAGGACTGCCATGACCCCTTCAGTTGCAATTACAAATGCAGATTAAGGCTTTAAAACTGCTACACACCCCTCTTACCCCTCTAAGTGTTTTTTTTTCGCATGTGCTTACAGTATCTGCATGCATTCAGACACTCTCATGTCTCCCTGGGCCTCTTCTATTGTTTGTTTACACTAGGGATAAACTTGGGAATTGTTCATCAAAGCTCAAAGCCATTGGCTTTCCACCCCCACTGATGGCGTGCTTAAGGGGGGCTAGGAGTGTTCTTTGGGTGACCTGCAGCCTTTCTGATGCGGCAGATTGACTTCAACATGTCTTTGGTCTGTGCGACATCAAAGTTTTGCAGCCAGTTTACTATATTTGAGACTTTGAGGCCAGTTTCACTTCCTCAATTAATATGTCTAGTGAGTGGCTTTATTCATACTATAGGTACTAAATAAAAAGAGGAGCAAGAACAAACAGTGCCTAAACTGTATTATGATGATAAATGATGAGAGTCAGTCCCATATTGATGGAATATTATGAATTAAACAGCGGAACATATTACGAGAACACTACCATATTTCCATAAATATACTTTATAGATGGCCTGCACTTCTGTATTCCTTGCCTACTTCTGCTGTGTGTTCTCAGTTTGTAGACAGCAGTAACATGCCCCTGACACTAAACGGTCCTGAGTTTCAATCTTTTCAAGGGCTTGTCTGTGTGGAGTTTGCATGCCCTACCCATTCACCTCTTACAAGCTAATTCAAGAGACTGCTATAGACTATTCATAATTGTGAGTTTGTGTGTCTGATCTGCAATGGATTATCAATCTGTCCTGGGTGGTTTCTCCTTTTCTTCCAATCCTAGGAGGGATAGGCTACAACGTGACCCTGACTACGAATAAATGGGTAGAACTATGAGCATTATGGACATCATAACCCATGAATGTGTTGAGAGATATACACTATAGGCCAAAATATTACAAACACCCTGCATCTTTCAGAATTTGGCTGGTTTTTCTTAACTCAAAGGACATTTTCAGCGACAACAAAAAACAGAATAGCATAGAAGCACGCATCTTAACTATAAAAAAACTATTTGCTAAGAGATATACATATTCAAATTCGACTTTCTACAAAGTATCCTCCCTTAGCCTTCATTGCAGCCTGACATATCCTAGGCATTCTTTCCAGCAGTTTAAGGAGAGAACTTCCTGGTGACTCATTCCGGGCTTTCAAGAGTTCCTTCATGAGCTCTTTTGAACTTGATGGACGCACTTCTCTGACTGCCCGGTCAAGTTCATCCCCAGAGCAACTCAAGTGGAATTTCAAGATGTACAGTTTTTAGAAAACAACATGTTTAGTTAATACAAGTGTCCCTTTGGCATTGTGTGTGCCTTTCTTGCTAAAAATTAACTTTAAGATGACAAAAAACTGCCAAATTCTGAAAAATGCATGGTGTTCGTAATATTTTGGCCTGTAGTGTATATTTTTGTGGATGTTGTATGATAGATGTGTGTGGTTGTTTATTTTTGTGCAGGTTGTTGTCAACGCTCTAGTCGGAGCCATTCCCTCCATCATGAATGTCCTCCTGGTATGCCTCATTTTTTGGCTAATATTCAGCATCATGGGTGTCAACATGTTCGCAGGGAAGTACTACCACTGCATCAATACTACCACGGGCAAAGACTTTGACAGTAAAGTTGTGAACAACAAGTCTGATTGTGCAGCATTGGCAAATCATAACTCAACAGCACGCTGGAGGAATGATAAAATCAACTTTGACAATGTTGCAGCTGGTTACCTGGCCTTATTGCAAGTGGTGAGTCAATCGCTCTGACCGATATAGACTGCATACTGGTTGTAAACTGTAAATATGACTTTTGCAGTCTTGAGATTTGTCTTGTGATTTCAACATTTTCCCTATCTCGATTCAATTTCAATTGATCTATGGCTAAGCCCTGCCCTCAAATGCGATGAGCCAATCACAGGGCGTATTCCCTCCCCATATACTCGGACATTCTGAGTCTGAACTTCCATTGAGATGCATTACGGAAACTCCAAATCGTTCACTCTTATGGGGTTTTAAAATGTTTCTAAGTTAAAAAAAATGGTCAAACGCTGTGCTTGAGGTAAACTCTGATACGAGGTATCCCGAGAGGCTGGGCGATGGGGTGTATTTTATACCCTACCCAAAGCCACATCATAACCGAGAGAAGTGTCTCCTCTGGATAAAGCTGCTTTCACACCAGACGCGAAACAAATTTTTCGCACGACAGATTTCATGCAAAGTCAATGCAAACACGTGAATACGCATGTATTCGCGTCGTTGCATTGACTTTGAATGTAATCTGTCGTGCGAAAAAATCGTTTCGCGTCCGGTGTGAAAGCAGCTTAAAGCTTTGGTGGAACACCCCACTATCAGCTTAACATAGCTAAGAAAGGTAAACAGGGATGTCTACATTTGTTCCAAGCTAAGGCGACATCTTGTCACTTCACTGGAGATTAATGTAAAGTTCTCTTTTACATCGCTAAGTTAGCTAACGTTAGCTAAAGTTAGTAAACTCTATGGCTAATTTCAGTGCTGATGGACGTTGGCTTAACATGAGCTCTTGGCTGCTTTGTTCACCATGTCACCTTGTTTACTTAGAAGGAGTTCAGTCACGTCAGGTTAGATTTCTTAAATTCGGTAGCTAGCAATAATAATAATAATAATAATAATAATAATACGTAAATTAAATTTATTACCCTGCGGTGCACGAACAATGCTGATCCTCTATCTTGCGTGAGAGGGTGACGGAAACGAGATGCGGTTGATCGCGTTTGCACTGAGACCTGAAAATTTCTTTAATTTGAGCCTACTATCGCCAAAAATCATCGATAGCATCCTGAAAAATATCTCCGACTGTGATATCAGCCATTAGCGCCTGTTCTAAAATGTTGATTGTTTGTCCGAGTAAGTGGAGGGGGCGGGGCTAAGCCATAGGTCAATTCCAAGAGGAACTTCTTGAACTATTTTTGAATTCAGCTGAGACATTTTGAGAATGGAATACTTTTTCATTGTATTTGTGGCTGAAAAATACAAAATCTCTGGTTCCTATGAGAGCAGAGCAATGCTACAGAAAACAAAATTTCTTGTTACGTGACATTGCTGCACATATAATTGATTTAAACTAAATGCATTAGTTTGACTTGCAAGATTGTTTGGTTGATGTGCCACAATAGTAGCAAGCCATTTGAACTTTGCTAAATGGAGCTAAAAGGAAAACTGCATCATTGTAGTTGATGGTTTCCAGCAGCAAATATGCATTCTAAAATGTTAAAGGTGCTGCACTGATGGCTGCATCTAAGCCACCGGATTGTTCTTTTAATTTTCTGAAAATCATCATCCAAAAATGCTGTGAATTTTCATCAGGGATCAAAAAAAGCACAGTTGCATAAGCACCTTATTGCAAATAACTTTATTACCTCACATCAGAGGATTTGGGGAAGGTGTTGTTTTTGTTGTGTGTTTCTTTGTTAGCAACCTGGCATTTCATTTTGGAGGAAGAAGGTCAAAATTCAACAAAAATACAAGCCAAAAATATGAAATCCTTTTTTTGCCATAATTTCTGTTTTAATGGTTGTATTGAGTTAAAATCAAGTTCAAAATATACAGCTTTCAATTCCACATTATCTGCTATGCTATACTATGCCATGGGGGTATCCCCTCCTAAAGCAGTTAGGGTAAATATCCTTAGGTGTTCGGTCAAAAATTTCAAATGTCCATAAAATCGTCAATGTTCATCTGATGTCAAAATTTGATGTGTTGCATCTAATGAGAGAGATCTTGCATTCCATCAAATACGTAGGGAATAAGTCCATCAACGTCCAGTTTCCATTGGCAAAAAAGTTCTCTCAATATATTCATGAGATATGGACTTTATTTCCCAGCACTAAAAATCCTGCCAATTGCGGCAGGTTGGAAAAGTTTTGCAGCTTTTTTTTGTAAGAACTCAGTCAACAAAAAAGCCGTGAAACGCTTGCTGAGGGAAGGAATGTTGAGCCTGGTACCACTTTTTTGACCATTGTGATGAGGATGAGTGCAAGCCTCTGGCTTACATCCCTCTTTAAATATTGCACACTGAAATGCAGGTGAATTCATTGTTTAACCCTTTAAAGTGCAGTACTTTTTGATCAAATTTCCTCCCAACTAAAGTGCTGACTGCTCTTGAACCACTTTCACGACAGGCATGTCTTGTTTGAAAGGTGACACTCAGTAGATTACTTTCAAATGGTCAGAATTGCTGAGAATATTACCCAAACTGAGTAACAACAATGGCAATATAAGTTTTTGTCTGATAGAAAAAAAGATTTTATGCTTCCTTCTGGCCTTGTAGAACTGTGACCAAGACTCATTGGCCAAGAAAAATAATGCAG